ACACCTCACATGTGCCTAATGCTGAGATTAAGAATACATGGAACCATATGTCCACTCACCCTACATTCCTTCATGGTATGGTACTTTGGTGTCCCGCACCGTAGCCGCGCAGTCTGAGGCATCATGCTTCGGACCGGCGATATGGAATGCGTGCTGGTTCGAGTCTTGGGGGAAAATTTTTTTTCTCATGAGCTTTTGATCAGTGTATCGGACGGGTGCCAATCCAGCATCATGAGGAAATTGGGGAGCTACAATGAGTAGCATAATCCAGTCAGGAAAGCTAGCAATAGCTGGGGGTTCGTCGTGCTGACCACACGTCACCCTATATCTGCTTAGGCATGTGGACATGAGGCCAGCAGTCAAGCTAGTCGGCTTTGGCTCACTGGAGCTGTTACGCCACGGATTTCATTTCATGGTACTTTGGTACAGAGACAACTGTACCTTTACCTTACCAATAGGTTTTAATTTATAATTTTAGGTTTTAATTTATAATTTTAGGTTTTGGAGGCAGTTGTTTCCAGAAAGATATATTGAACTTGGTGTACATCTGTGAATGTTTGAATCTACCAGAAGTTGCAGCGTATTGGCAGCAGGTGAGCACTAGAATCTATCCTGGATACTATTTGCTGCTTCCTGTTAATCAAATGAGTGGAGATGATAAATAAACGTATTGGACCAAGAAACTGGTTTTAATGATTTATGGTTTTCATGTTTTAGTTTTGAGAAAAGTTGTGTGTTGCTTTATTTGCATACAGAGTAACTGCAACGAGTGTTTCCGTGCACTTGTAATGAGAAATAAATATCTGTTGTTACAAATCGTTGATGTATCCATAGGTTCTGCTCAAATATGTGCTCACTTTTGAGTGCCCATGTACGTTACAGGTGTGTGTTGTCCTTTCAGGTGATAGACATGAACGAATATCAGAAGTCACGCTTCTCAGCAAAGGTGATTGAGTCATTATTCAACACAGTGTCTGATAAGCAGATAACAATCCTTGGATTTGCTTTCAAAAAGGATACTGGTGACACCCGAGAATCACCGGCCATTCATGTGGCCACAACACTACTTGACGAAGGAGCTAAACTTCATATTTATGATCCAAAGGTGAGGAACATACCCAGACTTCATAATTATCTCTCTTATTTCTTGAAGGGACAGCAGTAACAGTTGGTAATATTATAAATATAAATCTGTTTGCTCTTGTGTGTGTTTCATTGCCAATTTTGGTACAGTTTACAGTCATCTGTAAGCTTTATATCTTTCTTTGACGAACCTCACTGTTTATTTTGATGTATTAACGTCTTCCATTAGAAGGATTCTTTTATGTTGTGCTTGAAAGTAATGGAAAGGAAAATAGTATTAAAATATTTAAGAAATGGAGCAGAAAATGTAAAAATGTGTTTTATGTTGCTTAGGTAGAACCAAGCCAAATTATTGATGACTTGACTCATCTCAGTGTCACAGAGGAGCCAGAGAATGTTAAGAATTCTGTCACAATCCACAGCGACCCCTATGCTGCAACTATGGGGACTCATGCTATTATTTTATGTACCGAATGGGATGAGTTTGTGGTAAGAAAAATAAAACATTCATGAGCAATGATTTAAATTTCTTTGATAACACGTTCCTTTATTTACATTTCAGAATATTTACAGCATTATGCCACATTAAGATGGTTTTAGAGGGCTACATTTCAGCCTTTTATCATTAATTCTGCAAGGAAAAGAAATTATACTACTGTTATGTTCTTATCTGAGATAAATGGTCTTCTGACCCGAAAGTAGGAGATATCAGAAGATTGACTGAGTGGGAGCTAAATTTTGTGTACTGTAAATGAACTGGGTAAAGCAGTTCAGAATTGAAGCGTAGCGTTAAGTCTTTTAGGTGGAGACTCTTTATGCCATTGTTTACCTTTGTCCAGGTGAATGACCAGGAAGCACATTAGAATAAGTCACCTACTTCCAAATCGTTACATTCGTAACATTTATAATAAATGTACCAGTCTTTTTGATGGTATATAACCTCTGCAAATGAAATGGTGTCATTATGTTACCAAATAATATGTCTATGCATGTAAATAAAAGTGTTGTAGAATTACTTAAATTTTGGTGTAATTTTCATTAAATGTTGATTGTACTACAGATGTTGGACTATGAACGTATTTACAAAGGAATGATGAAGCCTGCACACATCTTTGATGGAAGAAAGATTTTGGATCATGATAGATTAATCAAGATTGGTTTCCAAGTCCAGACTATTGGGAAACGATTAGCAAGACCTCTCCTAACAAGGATGTGGGGAAGTCCTCACCAGGCATAAACGCAACTATATCGAGTGCATTTATAAACGTAATCATATTATTCCAACTTGTCAAGTGCTTTGAGGGTTGAGGTATTTACCCTTTGCATGCAGATATCAGGGAATCAAACCAGAGTGGAACCACTGACGATCATTTTTCATTTGAAAACATAGCTATATGCTGGTATATGGACAGACCAGCAAGTTAACATCTTAGCATCTGTGCTGTGTGTATATGCATCTGTTTGTTGTCCAGGAATGTGTCTCTTCATTCTTCAGTGGACATATGTATTTTATTAGTACAGTCTTAAATTTTGGCACTTATCTACATTTGTGCTGTTTGTCTGTCCCACATCCCAGTCCTGTCTCTGTTGTGTCAATGTGAACCTACACTTTCTGATTTTGGGAGGGAAAGGAATTAGTGCATCAGCAAATCCATGTTTGTAACATGCCAGAGTGGATAAATGTCCATATGTAAATGATATTTTGTGTAGTCATTTTGTTCTGTAGTTGTCATTTCTGTAGAATGTTCACGTTGCTGCCGATTGATCACTGATCGATAGCTTTTATAATGATTTTAATGTGTGTAATATTTTATGAAAATTCAATTTTGTTTCATGATGTAAGTACAATATTCCAGTCGACTTATTTCCTTCATATGGGTTTGTGCATGCAACTACTTTGAAGTTTGGTTCTATAGTTTTTTTATTGATATGTTCTTAAAAAAAACCAAGTTTGTCTTGTGATCCCAGAAAACATTAATATCTGATAATACATTGCCAGTTTTTAATATAATAAATATCAAATATTTTGTTTAAAAATATAGTTTTATACACAATCATCATTCCATATAAAAACTGCATCAGAATTTTATGAGAATGTGAAAACCTTAACATAAACATTTTGTATCATATGTTCTTAATGGAATGGTTATGACAATCGGATATTTATTTTCGAATGGCAATGTCTAGGCTACGTTTGGGGCCACTGACCACTTATCTGATGCTTAGGTTAAGAGTGTGTGAATATTAAATTCTGTGTTTTAATTAGCACATATTCTTTATTCTTGTTTTGTAAAAATTGCCATAATTTCTTGTACTACTGAAATGTACATTTACGTTTCATTGACAGAATCAGAATTTACTGGTCCAGTCCAATGTAAGTGTCTTTAGATAATATTTTGTTAATTCCTGGTTTATGGTTTTGTGGTTCTCAAGTTTCTATCATTTACTGTGAATGTGAGCTTCTTGGTACAAGGTTTGGTGTAGGTACTGTCTTTATCTTATTATTTGGTGTAGGATATTTTTATAGTAGGGTCAATCAGGAATCTTGAATTGAATTTGAGCTCTGGTATGATTTCCTGTTTAAAGAAATGTATGTCTGATTGTTATTGTTATATGTGTATTCCAGTACTTCAGATTTTGCTCTTTATAAGTTCTTTCTATATTATTAGATATTTGATTACACCAGTTGGCTAAATTACTTCGATAAAAATTTTTGATATTGCAACATGACATTTCATTTGTTGTAGTGTTTCAATTTTCATAATTATACCTCATCTATTTTCTGTTCGGTGTTCAGTTAAC